TAGGGGTGCCTTGTTTTTCAAAAGAAAATTTCAAATTATAAATGTGAGAGGGCTTTAAAAAAAGTTCATGGAAAATGGAATAAAAGGATAATGTAAAATTTTCCCACAAACTTTGAAGCATCCTCATCCTAATACATGTTCTAATTATTACACAAAATGTAACTATGGATTCTCATAATGTTTACACATAGAAATAGCGTTTTGCTTAGAACATCTCACATCATACTTTGTGGGGGAAAAATCACTTGACTTGGGTCATGCTGCCTGAATCCCTTTTAAGATTCATTTAGGTTAGCCAGCTTTTGGTCTTGCACATGTCAGAGTCGTGCCTTGTCTCTTCATGTACTTCACACACTAAACAGCCCATGATCACATAACCTAATTCATTTGTACCTTCTCTATTTCTTTCCAGTCCCTCCTTTTACCAATCAGCAATATATATATATATATATGAAGGGGCTTCAAAACAGTCATGGAAACATTCTTTTATCTTTTAATTCCTTTTTTTTCCCTAGGCACTTTTTGAAGTCCCCTCATCTACTTTGGCCCAGTGAAGTCATAGCTAGTGTGTTAGGCAGGGTTCTCTAAAGAAACAAACCTGGACACTTATAGTTGTACGTATATAAAAGGATAGGTTTTTATAGTGCAAAGGAATACAACTGCAAATTAGTCTACACAGCTTAACAGAAAGCTCAGTCCAACTCTCTCTCGTGGGACAGTGAGTAGCCTGACGTCCTTTCGGCTCCTGCCGGCTGTGGGACCAAGACCGAGGAAGCAGACGGTAGAAGATGAGATGTCGAGGCCCAGCCAGTAGCTCAGCCTAGCGAAGTGGCGGGAGGTGCAACTTTTGAATTGGTGGCAAGAGAAGCGAGCCAGCCGGCAGCGAGCAGATACAGCAAGGTGGGGCAGCACCAAGGTGTGGAACAGGGCGGCCCAACTACGAAGTCCTCCACAGCCCACGGATTGGCTCGGCCCACAGGTAGCACAGTACATGTGTAGAGGCAGGGCAGCTACTCAGGCAGAGCCCTGGTCGCACCACCAGAGAGAAAGGAAGGGGCTGGCCTCGAGCCATTTATATCAGTTGTGCCCCTAAAAGAGGTCATGTAGCTAAAACCTGTGACAGGCTAAACGCCACCCACATGTTCCTACAGGTGCCAGGTTGGCACAAAAAGCTAGCACAGCTAGTATCAGTTTTATTAATAGGATCTCAATGAGAAGGGATTGCTATTAATTAGACCCTTGTAGATCTGTGCCCTTTCTCTTATTTCACAGTGCTATGGCATTTAAATGTTTGGATTAGTGAAGCATTATTAAATAGACCCTTCCTTTGCCGTGGTTGTACTCTTCTCATTCACTTAGGCTGTCCTCTGACGTTACCGTCCTCTGGGGGTTCACCTTCGTCACTTTGATACAGAGGACCAGGCTTTTCTGAGAGAGAAGTGATTATTTATTCCCGCTGTTGTTTTTCCTACCCTTTTGCCTTAGGCTGTCTCGTCAGCTATCACGTTGATCAAATTGCTACTGAGCTGCCCATTAAATGGAGAGAAGACAAGTCTGTTCTGGCTTGCGTGCCCCCAGATAATCCTAGCTCTCACTGTAAGTATCTTCTGCAGCCAGGCACTCCGTCTGCATCCTTTTCTGTGTAGTTGTCAGTTCTTGTATAGACAACAGTCACAGCTTTGGGCGCTGTCTTTTGTGACATCGTGTACTTGTGTTTCTGAAGGCTGTTTCTTGAAGACAGCTACAACCAAAATGTTGATTTGTCTGTACACATTAGGTGTCTTCAGCAGAAGCTGTAGTACAAAGGGAGGTGTTGGAACTGAAGGAAGCATTAGGAAGATAGTCATCGAAGGAAGGTGGCGAAAAGAGGAGGCTTTGCAGGCTCATGGACAAGACAGATGAGAGGGACGTCTGTGGCTTCTTCCCACTGACCCGACCCCTCCCAAAATGTGACTAGTTTATAGGTCGGTGTACGTGTGTGTGCGCGCACGTGTGCATGCGAGTTCAAGGCCTGTGGTATAGTGAGGAAGAAATGATGTTATAGAGAGATTGGGGTAGTAATGTTATATATAGGATATTCGTGTCAAATGTTGGCACCTTGTGAGCATACCCACTAATCATAGGATTCTTTGTGTCACTGTAACAAAAGCCTGATTCGGATCGGGGATGTCTCTAAAAGTCCGAAACGCATTTTCTTAAAAAGCACTATCTATTTTGCAATCCTTATCTGTTCTAGTCAGAGCTGTTGCAACCCGAGAACATCTGAAAATTCATTTCATGCTCTTAGTGTTTTTTCTGTTTTGCTGCATTGTCCTTTCCATGGAACATTTAGGAGGTGCAGCGTGTGGTCTGTACCAGGCATGTGTTGGGAACATGCATGATTTAAGGGGTGGGCTGGTGCTGATGCTTGACCACACTATTAGTGACATTCATAGCAGGCTTGGTCTGTTTTCCAGGGCCAGAAACTGCTCATGTCAAGCCAAAGAGTGCAATCAGAGGTCAGCACAACTAGAATACCAAGCACAGAGGTCAGCATGATGAGAGAAAGAGTGACTTTTCAGGACCCCCACCGACTCATGGGGTCCTCCAGTAGATGGTAGTAGCGTCTAAGCAGAAAGAGAAGAGTTTGAGCTGTTCATGTGAGAGAAGACTTTGAACTGTTCCCCATCTTGAGTCTGCTTTCTGTATTTTAGAGCAGTCATGGAGGGTCTTTACCTAGAAGTGCTTTTTAAGAAATTTCACAAATCAAGTGTAATTGTAGACCTGTATGACTAATGGTCTTTTGGGGAGAGATAATTGCTGTGCAGTAAGACAAAGCCATCAGCCATTTTCTTGAGAAATTGCAAGAATGAACTCTTTAGAAGAAATTACTTCTCATGAATCCAAATAAAATTGTGGGCCAAAGTGGCTAGTGGCTCATCAGTTAGTCCTTAGAGATTAGACTCGGGGCCTTCTTGTCAGTGCACACTGCTGTTGACCTCCATGAATTCATTTTGGAGCGTAGACATTTTCACACCTGTCGCTTAGTGTTTCTGTTCTTGCATCATTTCCTTGGAGAATCATCGTTATTTCCCTTCCTGTCCTTGTAGCTGCAAAGCCGAGAAGCTTGCCAAGAGCAGTCTTTGCTCCTCAGCATTGTGGGGCCTATTTTAGATGTCCTGGCTCTGCTGCTGCGGCAGGGGGAGGAGGCCATTCGTAACCCGCACCACGTCAGTCTGGTCTTCAGCACGCTGCTCACGGTGCCCATGGATCATCTGAAGCCTTCAGAATATGGCAGCCTCTTCCCAAGGATTCACAACGTGCTCTTTTCAATCCTGCAGTGTCACCCTAAGGTGAGGGATGAAGGGGAGCCGTGCCTTGGGAAGCTCTTTCTTGTTAACAGGATGTACAACTCCTTAGGTGAAGGGTAAAAGGCATAGCAAAAAGGCAGCACAGCATTGTGGGGCTGTGGTACTCTCAGCCGCTGGTGCTCGGCATGTGTTACATGGTTCAGACCGCTTTACAGCCTATTAATATCCCCGTTCTGCCAAATTGCAAAAATAAAGTAATTTGCCTAGGGTCACCCAGTGGGTCAGGATTTAAACTCAGGTAATCTGACCCCACATTTGTATGCTTTTAATCAGTATGGCCAACAGATTACGAGAGGTCTTTGGGACATTAGTTGAAAGTCTGAAATTATTTTGCTAAAGTGGTCTCTTTTTTGAACATGCTACAGGAGTCTTGTTTGGCAGGAAGGATGGAGTATTGTTTATCAACCAAGACATTTGGTTGAATAAATTATACCAAGGAAAATAATCACGACACTTGATTTACTACGTTCTTTCAAAGAATTAAAGCCAAACTTTTAGCTGTAATGAATATGTTCTATACTTGCATCATCTAGTATAGTAGCTGTTTGCCACATATGTCTTAAAATGTGGTTAATGAAACTGAGAAAATTAGTTTTAAATTTCATCCACTGTTTTATTGGACAGTACGAAATTCATAGATGGTTGCTACTGTGTCCTAAGGTAGTTGAATATGATAGAGGTGTGTTTTAATTGTTATTTCAGAAAGTTTAGGAAGAAAGGAAGGTTCACAAGAAGAGAAAGAAAAAAGTATGACCATTTTAAAACAAAAAAGTTAATGTATAATTATAGATTTTACGTTCTTTTATCTGTACTATAGGTCATGCTGAAAGCCATCCCTTCTTTCTTGAACTCTTTTAACAGACTGTTGTTTTCTGTTATACACGAAGGGCGACAGAAAGATAAAGGTAATTCAATGTAATGGTATCAGGTACACTGTTTCAAATGTATTTATTGTAGAATGAATGCCTTGCTAAGAAGAAAACTCTTCAGTTGAGCCAAAATTTTTAAAATGCTCAGATTGCTCAAAATTATTTTTAAATTTTAAATGGTCACCTGTTATATTTTAAACACTTAATACACTTGGTGTGGCCTAATAGAGATAATTATTTTTCTGAAAAATAATACCGGGACTCATTAAATATTGAGC